TACATGCATATATGCATCTGTAAAATTTCATTTCAAATATAAAATTTGACTTCTACGTCCCCAAATGTGATACAAAAATAAAATTTATTTTCAAGAAAACATTCTTGCTATCTCATGTAATATAAATAATTGCTTTCTATGGTCAATGACTATGAAACGAAGTTCACACACGTGACGGAAAAATGCAGCAGGAAAGTATGTGTCGATCTTCTCGAAAATGTACGAAAGAATATTATCGTACAGTTTCATCATATTTTTCCAGACAGAATTTCAATATTGACAGTTACACCTTGCATAAAAATACGAGAGGAAGTAAGATCTGAATTAATTGAGTTGTAGTAACAATGGGACGAAGGCAAGCGGTTCGCCATTACGATTTCTCTATCGAGCTTCTGAAGAAATATCAGTCGTCAAAAGCCACTCGATATCTCACGGCTTGACGACAATTTCGCAAATAATTATTGCATGGGAGACACAAAGCGGCTTACGAGTGCCTCTTGCGTTTCTCCCGGAATCCAATTCCGTGCCGCCTCTTTCAAATCCCTTTGTCACCCACGATAATCCCTCGGTAGACGTGGTCGAGTTGACGATGTTTCTCTCCCCCTTCCACCCCCTCTTTCGTTGCCAACCATCGTCCCGTTCATTCGTTTCCCCCCTCGCCTCCCGTGTTCGGGCTTTCCCCTATTTTTCTCTCTCCACCATTTTACCTCGTTTCAAAATTCTATTACCACTGTCGCTTATGGATCCCCGTGCTCGTTTTTCCTTCCTCTCACATTTTTTTTTTTTTTTGCCACTATATATAGTAGGGAGAAAAATGTGGTCAAGTTAATGGAAGATTATGGCCAAGTTTAATTCCAATTACAACCCCTGGGATATAAATAGAACGGGAGCGACGATTTTTCCTCGCTATTTATTTGCCAGACCATACCGGCTCGCTCTTAAATACGACGTACCGTCGAATAATGGGAAATAATCGGTGCAAAAGAGAGTCAACTAAATGCGAAAGATGCAAAATGTCTACCGCTAAATAATCGCATCCCGTCTGCTCGATGTATTATACAATCGCGCATAGTGCTTCAAACTGAATCACCGCTCAAATAATATTTCGGAATATTATACTTCGAATCGGGTAACGGATAAACGAAATTTGCCTGCTTAACATAAATCGTTTCGTCGTTTATACGTTATTCAATTTTATTCCGAAACGTTTATGAAACTGTTCGTAGTACGCGTTCGTCCACACACTCTTTGCTGCGATTAAACATTCGTTTTATTCGAAGGTAACGTTAAATACATGGAAGAACTTTCGTGGAAATTTCTTCTTTCAATTTACCTTAATACTTCAAGGTAATAATATCTGGTAAAATTTTGTAAATAGGATAAAATATGGTATAATTATACAAATATGATATTTTATAATTATACAAATACGGTATATCGTATAATTATACAAATATTATATAATTATGGTAAAATACTATAAATACGATATACTGTGGTATAAATATATAAACGTAAACTAATTATTATATCGTTTAGTGTTTCTAACGTTAGTGAACTTTTGTTTCGATAATTTGTTCATATAAAAGTTTACTGATAATTTGGTTGGTAAACTCCGATGAACCACCCAGTATATAGATCTCTCTGGTTTTTTCACATTGACAGAATAGTCAATACTTCCATGAAATTTTACCCATTTGTTCATTTGTCCTCTCGATTTATCTCTAGCGTCGTTTTTCGAATTCGAAACTCTGACCAATTCCATCGTGCATCCTCTTTCTCTTTGTCTCTCCACCAGCCGTTTCCGGTCTTTTCAACTCGTTATCGAGTGCCAGTTCCAGTCAACGATTTGTGTCGGACACTAAAAAAAAGACGCTAATTCTGCGATCGAATTTGCAGTATCCATAAAAGAGCCGAAAAATAAAAATAACGATGGTTGCTTGATTAATGTTGTTTGATAATAGTTCTTGTTAAAAGTTCAAGGTACAAAAATGATTTCAAATTCCGATGTCACGAATTTTTTAATTTTATAGATTTATCCCCTTTCTGTTTTATGTGAATAAATTGCAAATAACCGGGTAAGTAAGGTGTAAAATCATTTTGTTATATTTATTAGCATAACAAGAATTAATATTTCAAGTGTGATATGAAAAATATTTACGAATTTGTTCACCTACATCTACTTATAAAGATCGATTAAACCAATAATGTAAAAGTGAAAAAATTCTGTTTTATACTGAGAAATATAAGATTGTTTTAAAATTTAGAATCACGAGGTTTTTAAATTACATTAGAGATTATTCCATTAACTGAAAAAAGACACTTAAACCATTCAGACAGTCATAATTCAATTGTGTTCTGTCAAAACATAAAATATGATACGCAAGAGATGAAATATTCAAGGACGAACTGCAGTTACAATGAACTAACTTTAGAATATGGAATAAGTTTTTGTCAATCAAAATTAAATGACAGCTATCATGGAAGAAAATTACGGTAACATTTAAGTTGAAATTTTATTGTAATAATTCATTTACTTTCGAACTGCGATTGTTGTGTACCTGACATTAAATGAAAAGTATATAAATTATTATTTTTAGCAAGTTCGTGTAAATGAAATACCTGTAGCAATTTTTAAGGTTAAAACATACAAATTGAGACAGCTAGAGTGAAGGACTTTTATTCTCCACTGTATTTCTTCAGAAAATGTTGCGGATTAACTATACGAACTATATTGAATATACTAACTATTTATTTCGTATACAATTTGTATGATAAAATACGATGAAAATGAAATAAAACAGAATTTGGTTAAGTGGAAAGCCATTTTTGTCGTATAATACGTTTCCCGAATTAAGTAGTTCAATGAAAAGTGCAAAAAACCAGGAGACCCCACAAAGAAGACACGTATCCCCATCCCAAGGGTTGAAAAGGACCTAGTTTCCGGATTCGTTCGCCTTCTTTCCAAAGAATTCCCTAATCTCTTAGAAGTTGGAGAACGTGGAGTCGCTACCCTTCGGGTGGTCGTTTCTTCCACATTCTACCCTCCCTCCTTTCTTTGGCTAATAGACGTCGAAGGGGGTTGAAGGCTGTTACAGGTCCTGGCCCGGGTCCTCTATGGAACCTGCAGGATTACAGCTTGCAGCCTAATCAGCCAGATTGCCTGCAATTTGGCGACCTTATCTCTTGCTATATCCCGCAGCTCTTCTCTGTTCTTCTACCCCCTCTTCATCCCTTTCCCCGCAATCGTCCTTCGAATGAACTTACGCACCCCTGCTTTCCTTTATGTACCACCCTCTTTCCGGCGAAACGGGGGACACGTGTTCCACTGTGCCCGAAATTACGGGAAAACGAGGGGTGCCTCGATGCAGAGACGAAAAGATTGCAAGTTCACTTCTCTAGCGGTGTTTCAGATTTCGGAGTCAATCAAAGGGCACTATTGTGAAAGTTTGGCGACTCTCGATTGAGTTTCTGTAGCAGTGTGTAGAACCGCGATTCGGGATTTTTATGTTATATGGTACAGTTTCGATTTTAGGAAAAATAGAGTTCAGGGGATTGGGAGAGATTTAGTCTAGAAAGTTGAGATTCGGAAAATTAAACCAACAAGAAACTTTTAAAAATCACAAGATTTGTGTATTCAAAAACTACCTAAACTTGTGAAGTTCTTGAAAACAATGCAATTCAATGAAAAATTAAGACAGTACAACGGCGCAGCATGGGTTCTATTCTTTCAAGATACAAGAACTAATCATTCAGAATGTTTGAGCAATTTGTTCTCCCTATCTCGCTAGATTTCGCAATTTCGATCTATTTCCAACGGTGCAACGGGAAACCCGGATTCACGCATTACTGGAAATGGTCTTTTCGAAAGAATACCTCTCCCGTTTTGTCCTCGAACTCTCCACCGACCCCTTACTTGTCCCACAATGTACGTAAATCTTCTCTTACTCCCGTATCCTTTTGTCCCCTAGTGCACCGGAGATCTTCAGGGTGAAATTGCAGTCGCGAGACACGAAAAAAAGACAAGCAGACTTGAATAGATTCACCTTATCGTTCTCAAACCTGTTCTCTTGTCATGCGGAGAAAATTCCTTTTCTACTGATCGTCTTGTTAGAATTACGTAATGGCGGACAAAACTGATCATTGTAATTTGTATCGTTCGCTTTCGTTGAACCTAGATCGTTAATAATTATATAAAACAGTGAAATATCAAACGAAAATGTCACTCTGAATATTGCAGTACATTAGAGAAATTCAGATACATTAAGATAAAAGTAAAAATAGTTAACCCTCTTTGCACTCGCAAGGTAACTTTTGTTAATTAAAGATATACATTCGAGTATTGAATAAATTTCTTACACCGAGAATTTAGTTTCTTAATTTCAAGCTTTCAAAAGTTTAATTTCTTAATCTTGCACTGTCGAGAATTTAATTCCTTAATTTTACACTTTTGACAATTTAATTTTTTTATTCAAAAATTCGAAAATAGCATGTATTTAATTTTCTTAATTAGGTTTTAAGAAAGCTGGAAAATTTGTAAATTTATAAATTCATATATTTGAAAATATATTATATTATGTTCTGAAGTGAAACGTCTCAGAATGTATAAATTTAAATTTGCGAATTAACAAGTTAGAAATTTTGAAGATTGAGAAAGTGACTCCAGAAGTGCCCCATCAGAAGCGTCCCGAAATAATGATGAACCCTTTGCACTCCTTAATTACCTTAATTTGCAAAACGCAAGTTCTCAAAATGTATTACAAAAGTGTGGAGCATGGACAAATATATTTGTCATTTATTCTAAGTAACGAATAAATGAAAATATACATATACAAGTATTGAACTAATCACTATAGAATCGAAGAGAAATGTCGAACCACAGGAGTGCAAAGGGTGAATTTAATTGGTTGTCGACAGAGAAAATTCGTGTGTAACAGAGGGTTAACGTAAAAATGACGTTACATGCGACGATAATGTTATATTGTTAGATGAACACTCACCCGCGTTATTACTGGCGAAATTTAGATCCTTACCTGAAACAGAGGAAGCAGATGTTGTTAGCGAGATCGAGTGTCGTCAAGGATCATATACAACGTAATACCGACATCGATTTTGTACGAGACGCAACATATTACATTACAAGGCGACCACAATCTACCATGTTAATTAATTCTCTGACAACGTGAATAAATTAGCCAACGACGTAAACGCGAAAATACTTTCAAGTGATTTAACACTAGGTTTACGTCATTTGGACGCATTTCGAATTTTTTTAGAACTTCGCATTTTTATTTTATCTCTTGTACTGACTTTTATCCATTGAACGAAGTAAATATCTATTGAAGTCTATTTTCTTCAAAAGCTTTGAAATATTAAAATTTGCTGTGTGGTATACCTATCTCTACGGATGTGTGTCAATTTGACGCGATCGTAATGTAAATAAAATTTTTAGTAAATTAGTTTTACCCGTGCAAAAATTACAACAATAATAAATATGAATGCACCGACAATACCTTATAAACGACGGACATCGCTACAAATCGCAGTTCGCAGGGTAGAGGGAAGTAAAAATATGAATATAGAATATTGAAGTAATGTACTAAAATATTATTGAATAATAAAAACTTTCTATAAATATATATCTCATATTTTCATTTCTTACTTGTAGCGTTTAATTATATTGCTTTCTAAGTGGTTGTTTTTCTTTAAATGTATCCGTTCGTGCGTCAAATTGACGCGTGTTCGTAGAGATAGATATAAGAAATATCCGTCAACCTAGTGTTAATATTATAAGTATCGTACGATATTCTGAGAGAGATATTTTTATTGTGATCGCTATGCCGGTTCAAGGAACCAGATTCCTTAATAGTTGTTCTAATTAAGAGGTGCTTAAAGCTGTAGAAAATTACCGTGTTATCTTCAACACGTATCAACACAGTTAAAAATTCCCTCGGGTAAAATATTCGGTAATAGTCACGAAAGTACCTAAGGGAGAAAGGGTTTATGATTCAATTCCTAGCTAGAGTCGATCGAACGATCGGTCAAAGCTCTTGATACTCATTTATTATCAAAAAGCTTTTACGTTTATGACGAGGGTGTAAAGTGTAAGCTGCCTCGATGTTAATAGCGGCTGCCATAAATCTATCGGATCCTAATGGGTTTGCAATATTTAGCTCAAGTTTTTATGGCCTCGTTACGATACCGAAAACATGTGAATGTCATGTACGAGCATTTGGATGCCGTAATGTTATGAACTTGCTCGATAGTAAAAGCTCGAATCTCTTTTAGGTGTTCAGTCGAGATCTTGGACGATGTCTCAATATTTTGGGGTTGGAGTTTAACAGTTTTTAATTTAGAAATTTTTATACTTGGAAATGTAGAAATTTAGAAATTTAATATTCCTTAATATCCCAATTTTCTAAATTCCTAATTTAAAATTTAAGAATTTAGACATTCCTATATTTAAAAATTTTTCAATTCGACTGAAAACTTTTGAGATTGACTAGCTCTCAATCTCAAAAATTAAAAATTCTCTTAAATAGCTAAAGCTCGAAATTCACAAGTTTTCCAAGCTCTCCCACGTCCAAAAACCCAAATTTTTCAATTCCGGAACTTCTAATCTAAAGTCTTAATCTCCAAATTTTCAATTTCCATCTAATTTCTCTAACCCTCTCCAATTGTCCCAATAATAAACTCCTCAGCGCACAGTATTAACCCAATATAATCGACTGAAAAATATTCCAAGCGCTTTCGATTTCCCATCGTTCACGTTTGATGGCCGAAACACAGATCCCATTCATCGACTATATTGCAAGCACATGTAAGAACTTGGAAAGCCATAAAAGACCGACAGTGGTCCACCCTGATCCATAAAAGCTTCTTAAAGTCTCTCATGGAAATCAGTCTATTATACGAAAGTATGAATCGCAATACGAAATTGTATCACCGACTTGATCCCCCGAATATCCGTGCCCTGTTATCCTTTTTATCGACGTCGTTCAACGTTAAAGTAATCAAAAATTAAATTCCGCTCCTCTAGAACAGTTGAATAGAATCGCTTCCTGGATCTTCGTCAACAACTTTCACGATTTCCGCGGAATACGTTTAGCGATTCAGCAAAATCATTGTATCTGCAGCGACTACTAACCCGTGTAAATGCAGTGGAAAGTTTGTCAGTTACGATAGCGCAATTTTGTTAGATGGAAATGGGGTTAAGGGGGTCAGAATAAGGAGCAAGGAATACGGTTTCCGCAAAGAACAATTCCGCAGTTGTACTACGTAAATACGTGGGATAACTCGACTAGAATGAACAATACGATTCACTAGTACGCACGGGATTATTCGGATAGAATATCGGTATTTCGATTCTTTGTTTAAAAGTACTTGTATTCCCCGAGCGACTTTGTTGAAAAATCAAACGCAAGAATTCGCGGAAAGATCTCGGGATCTCCATCGTTCTGAAGAACTCATTTGAAAGGACAAGCTTCCAAGAATATGACCATATTTACTTTAAATTTAAACCCTTTACGCCCATCACTGTAAAAAACGCAAAAAAGAATTTGTTTAAATTTTTCGACATTTTATAACAAACTGAGGGAATTGAAAAAAATATTATAAAATAGCCCAATACTTCGTAAATAAAACGAAACAGAATTTAGCTAAATTAGTTGAGCGGTTTCTGAGAAAAAAAATTCGTAAGTGAAGACTATTTTTGCAAAAGTGAGCAAAAATTGCAAACTTTGGAGGCTTGTTATTTTTTAACAAATTTGAAACCGGCAAAATTATGACTTAAACCCTCTTAATTTCACATGGACTACAACATGTTTTGATTAGAGCAAAGTCGCAGATGGTGACGTCTAAAAATGAGCAATATGGAATGACCGCTTGACTAAACGTGAAAACTGTTTATCTCGTATGAGATACTTTAGTGATAATAATGGAGTTTCAAAATAGAACAGCTCTTAAAAACACAAATTCCCTGTCGATCGAAATTGGCAGATGTGTACAATTTAACAAATATCTTTGAACGGAACATCAATACGAGCGCAACGTGCACCTTTCGTGTCATAAATGAAAAATAAGTACCCATTGATTATTCCGTATCTCTGAAGTTATGCAGAATGTTGCAGTTACGAGATAATGATCGTTATTATGGAATTAGCGATTGTAATGAACACCCGAAATTGCTGGCACACATTTACATAATGTCGATGTAATAATATGCTAAATGATATTCATAGACATACAATAATATGGTAATGTCAGTAAAGCTACAATAATTATCGTAATTAATAAGCTGTACAGTGATCTCGTCAAAATACGTATTATATAATTAGGCATATTCGATATGCACGTTGGAATTCACAGTTTATCTTCTCATTTCTGAATTATAATAAAGATCATATGTGCTCTCGTTGTAGAGTTGCGTTACATCGCGTTGTATCGCCGATTTATCGTATCGCCGCGCGTTGTATTGCCACATGTTATTTCGACACGAGTTGTATTACCACGCGTTGATTTGACATGTATTATATCATCACACGTTATATCACCATGCGTTGTATCTCCCACGCGTTATATCTTTCACGCGTTATATCACCATGCGTTGTATCTCACGCGTTATATCACCACGCGTTGTATCTTTCACGCGTTATGTTACCACGCGTTGTATCTCCCACGCGTTATATTTTTCACGCGTTATATCACCACGCATTGTATCTCTCACGCGTTGTATCTTTCACGCGTTATATCATCACGCGTTGTATCTCTCACGCGTTGTATCTTTCACGCGTTATATCACCACGCGTTGTATCTCCCACGCGTT